TGTGTGTGTGTGTTTGTGTGTGTGTGTATGTATGGGTGTAAATATGAGTGTGTGTGTAGGTGTGTATGTCTGTGTCTGTGTCTGTATATATATATATGCTTTTTCAAAAGTTCTTGAGCGCTGTATTTAGCCTGTCCCTGCTTGATACTTTTTATTTAGTGAGCGGCCGACTCACGTTTCTCTCAGTACAGTGCATTAGATTGGTTTTCATTTCATGTAAATCTCAACAATCAAAGGTGACTAATCTTGAGGTAAAATGGTACTCGTCCATTATTGATTTGTACCTGAAATAGCACACAGGTATGCAGTTAGACAGCGATCACTGGTGGTTATAGAGTTCTACTGGTGTGCTTTTCTATCAATTGTCGTTAAAAAAAATTCTTATTGCATATCGTTTTCTTTTCTTGGTCTCTAACTGATTCTTCAGTGGGGATGCTTTATAACCGAGAATCTCTGTCTGTCGTCTGGTACCAAAGATCGTACATAACAAGATACTTCACTCCCCTCTTTGAGCCAATTAAAAAAGTGACCTCAAAATCCCGTGGCGCCGACTTTGCGAACAGAGTTATCCTACTTGTGTGAAAAACAATAAAAGCGAAACTAACAAGCTGTGCTATTCCTATTCTTCTTCTTGAGAAACGAAGGAGAGCTTCAAATCAAGGACTGCAGCGCTATCTGAAGCAATGCGCGGACTTCCGCAGATACTTTTTTGGTCGAGTGAACTATCTTGTACGATCTTTGCTAGTACGTCGTATTTCTCTCAGCCCGTAAGGCCCTGACAGGGAGGATCGAAGCAGTCCGCCTCTTGAAAGATCTAAATAGTGGGGGTGTAAAACACAATTTACATATTCTGAAAAAACTCCATGTGTACTCATCAGATTTATGACGGGAACAAAGTCCTTATTTCTCAACATTCCATGCTCCGACTTTAACGATGTGGATAAATGACAATAGGTTTCAACCTCTCACCTGTGACCTAATCACTGGCATTTCTCGATTTCTTTGACCCCTTCCCCTTATCCCATTGTCACCCACTGACTCTTCCCCCTTGACATAGAGTTTTTTAGATCTCAGAAAGCCAAACCCTTAACCCATCACCATCCCAAGCCCATCCTCTGACCACTCAAAAAAATATATCTTTAATAAGCCCCCTCCCCCGAAAAAGCATCCACCCAACCTTCAACTCATCTCCCACAATTCTTCCTTGGCCAATTCCCCAACCCCCACAACCCATCCCTATCCCCAGTCTCAATAAACTGAAGAAATAACCCTCGACCCCCTCCCCCCTTCCTTCCCTCCTCCTCCCCCTACACACTCCCCATCCCCCACGACCTGACCCCAAGACCAAAGCTCAACGTCTGAGGCTAACGGTAAAAGCGCCACACCAGTCCACCAGTTATTTGACCGCGTGGCGATAGAGCCGTTTCCTGTTCAAATAGAGCGCATGCGCGTGGAGTTCATTATTGCTCGCAGGATTCCTGTGGTCACCACCTATAGGCGAGGACTATCAATCTTCCCGGATTTCAAGGGGGTTAGAGAGACATTTCTAGAAGTGAACGTGGCTGTCCCAAGCCTTTATGAGGCCACGGGTTAATGCCGTTTTAATGTTCCTCGCGTCAGTGAGTACTCCTGAGGGGTAGATTTCCTTTTATTGGTCTGTTTTTGTGGCGAATAAAAGCCACTGGTGGAGAATCACATCTGACCTGCGATATGGTGTAGTTGGTAGGGAACTTGGTCAGCAGTGGAGTGTTTGAGGTTTGATTATTGTGATTGTAAACATTAAAATCTTATGCCCCCATTATCTCACTTCAGGTCGTTTAGAAAGCGACTTCTTATAACGTGCCAGTCAGACTTGCTAAAGCTTAGGAGTCGATGTTATAAAATTAAATGATTAATTATACAAGAGGTTTTATATGAGTGAAAGCCTGTTAAAGTGAACTGCTCACGACACCATTTGACACTAATAATTTTGTCTCATTTTGCTTACGTCCTCAGGGTCAGTGTCGGTTGATCACATGTTCGTCTGGCAGAAACTTGATGCTAGACTCGAATGGCGAGGTCCAGACGTGCATACCCCAGAAAACGACTTCCGACATTTCGGCTGACAGCTATATTTACGTCTTAACGATGGCATGGTATGTCCACACCAACGTCTCGCGGGCAGACAGAGGTTCACATCAATATGATGCAGATCATAAAGACATGAAAAGTGAAACTGAGTCTTTTAGAAAGCAAAGCAAACTCGGACGCAGAATTCTTCATTCTAATAAGAAAGACAGGTCTCGTAAGAAATACTCTAGAGTGAGGAAATTCCCACCTACAAGTACTGGATTGCAGACACAAGATGGCCCTATTCGTGGTCAGAAATATGATGATAGCAACAACAGCGGAACGTTTCTTCATGGCTCTGCTGGAGGACAGTCGCCAGGAATCGGGTCCTCGGTACGAGAACACATAGGGAACTCGCTAGAAGAAATTGGGAGGCTTGAGTATTTGTTTCAGATTTATCCAGCCGAGGTGCAACAGAACTTATCATCGACAGTGCTGAGGCCAGTAGCAATGTCTTTATTATACATCGCTGTTAACAGAAACGAATCCGTTTCACACGTGGAGTCGCTACTGCTACGAAAATTTACAGGATATCGTCAACTGAGACTTCAGAGTCAAAACATTTCATCGATTCTTGTTCTGGCAAAGCATAGAAATGAATCGTTAAGATCTGACGTAGAATCGTATTTTCCCTTAAACAAATTATCTGGAAAATGCTGTGCCGTATCCACAAATATATTCACAAACTACACGAAAGAGTTCCGAAGGTTCTCTTGCTCAGACCCAAACGAAACGGTAACATTTTTCGACAGTGTTACTTCGTGTCCACATGTAACCTTCGATATTTCTGAATTCAATACCACGAAGAGACACAGTCTAATCCACACAAGGTCAAGACTTCGGCTCAAACGGCATCGGTACCTCTATCAGGGCAAAAACGAAATCTCCGTGTGCATAAAAGACCTTAACGAAGCGTATCAAAAGCGACGTACAAAGCGTCGAGAGATACCGCTTCAACTCCTTGTTGAGCATGTCCTCACTCTCAGTGCCTTTCCTTTGTCTATGGCGTGCCTACTGCTAACATTTGTAACGTACTGCGTCTTTCCAGTACTCCGTTCGGTTCCAGGCAAGAACAACATGGTCCTGATCGCGTTACTGTTTCTGGCCCAAGCCTTGTTGCTAACGACGCCGTTACCTAGGAAACGATCCACTCTGTGCAGCGTCCTGGGCATGGCTCTCCACACTTCGTGGCTGGCAGCCTTTACATGGATGTCTGTCTGCTCCTTCCACATGTTTCACGTGTTTGTGGTCAGACGAGCCTCCCCCCGCCCCCAACTCTCCCGGAACTGGTTTCTCTTCCGCTACGTCATCATCTCTTCCGTGGCAGTGACCTCATGCGTTGGTTTGGTCATTATTACAGAACTCTACGCCTCAAACGGAAGATCTTTTGGCTACGGAGAGCGTGTGTGTTATCTTAACTCTTTCTTCTTAGTCGGGGTAGCGTTCCTTTTACCGCTTTCGCTAATCCTCGTTATTAACTTAACCCTATTTGCTATGACAGTCTTCACTATTTCTCGCATTGAGGACGTGAAAAGAGAAGCAGGGCAAGAAAGGAGGAATATTCACGTCTATGCCCGCCTCTCGTCTCTCACCGGCCTCTGCTGGCTGCTGGCTCTCCTAGCAGAAATTCCTGGACTGCAAGTTCTGCGGTGCGTTTCGGTGCTCGTAAATGGAAGCCAAGGAGTTGTGATTTTCTTATCTTACGCTTGCAATCGTCGAGTCATTAGGATGTGGAAGCATTTGTTGAAGAACAGAAAAGGAGGGCTCAGTAGACAGTTCACAGACACCAGTCGACAGGGAACGATGAGCACAAGTGTGTAAAAGTAACTTTTATCTCAAGCTATCTTTCAAGCTTTCATAAATGGGGCATGAGCTCATTTAGTATCACCCTGGACTGTGGTACCAATAACCCTTATTCGATTCGTAACGCTGCTGCGATGATGTTTTATTGAACTGTGGACACCTGGAATGCTTGCAAGGCACCCCACCTGATTGGCTCGGTTCTATCGGAGACAGATTTTTATATTTAGAGGTCCTATCTTATATGACCTTACAGTGTTGAAAGTGGCAGTAAACTCTTTCAGTTACCAGTTAGCACATAATTTCACGTGCATCTTAAGTCCTTTAGGGGTATTTTGATATCTCTTAACTACATTTTCAGCGTCATTCTATAAACATTTTTGTCATTTATTTTTTATTAAAATTGTTTTTGAGAAAACAGAAGAAATTGAGAGCGTGTAGGGCAATCGTTATTTTTCAATGGAAAACTAGTAAGGAAATAACGAAATTGAATGAAACCTACATTATAAGATAACCCTTAATGTCCTTTTTTTAAATACCAGCTTTATTTGGAAACTACCAAAACAGGTTTGAGCGATTGTGAAATGAGGCAGACAATATTACATAGACATTGTAAGAACCCCGCCGAGATAAGCAACTGTCTACAATTCGGACAAGCTTTGCCTTCAGCACTCTGTCCCGCACCCCTATAAAAGTTGTAGTAGTACAGCATTCCTCCGAATATCACATATCACATTGGTTACGTTCCAGAACATTTCATGTTAGAGGGAAAATCTGCAAAGTAGAAACATGTCTTTAAGGCAGTAGACGGCAAAGTCACCAGAAAAATAATTATACTGGTCGGGTGAAGAACTGTCAGTAAAAAATGTGATCAATCCTAAAGGGATATTGTTCGAAGAACCCATTTTCAAAGTTTGTCTTGCATGAAATTCGACATACTAGGATAAATCATTCATATCTGAACGAATTGTTGAAAATTCTAGACCAAAACATGATGGACCCTGTTCGTAATAGCAAAAGCTGAATATGTGCATGGACATATTTTTACATTTTCTTTCAAGATTAGAAAGCAAGAACAGACAGATGTAGAAATTCTACGTAACGACTGCAGTGAGGTTACTGAACGCACAGTGCTACAAATGAAAGAGAGAGAGAGAGAGAGAGAGAGAGAGAGAGAGAGAGAGAGAGAAAGAGAGTGAGAGAGAGAGAGAGAGAGAGAGAGAGAGAGAGAGAGAGAGAGAGAGAGAGACAGAGACAGAGTGAGAAAGAGAGTGAAGGAGAGGATGTTTTCGGAACTGGGTTGTTTCAGCATTTAAAGAATGTATTTATTAATGTCCTCTCTTGTTGTGTGTTTGCATGAATGCACCTAACCTTTGTAACATATAGTGCCATTGAAAACGACGAAGACAAATTTCTCCCTGTAAGATGAATAAAGATTGTCATCGTCAAGACTGAGATTTATGCTCTATGAAGGACATTGTATTTTGAAAAGTTTTAAACTTATCCCTATAATAAATTTCATAGAATAATGTTTACACAAATGCTTCTATCACCCCAGAGGCTTTTGCCTAAAAAAAAAAGATAACATGTTTAGAAAAAACAAGGTGGGCCCCCTTTCGATGAAAGGAATGATCGGTGCATTAACATCAACTGAAAGTCATTGGCCCACTACTACTATATTTACACTCTACTTAACTGGAATGGAGCAATAAATCCTGAGAGATGCAAAAAATTAGTGGTTTTGGAAATGGATGCAGATCAACTTTGCCATTGCTACAGCACATACTTTGTGTTTCATATGGAAATCTTATGGCAAGGTAGTGTGTACACTGTGTCGTCAGTTCCCCAATGTAGCACTCGTACTGAAATGAATTGACACTGTAGAGGAATGCTTTTGGGAGATTTAGATCTAGAGAGTCCCCATCATTTTGTTGTCGATCTAGACCACCTCGACCTTTGCGAGCGCGAGGGGTTCTTCTAACTGCAGAACGTCGTTTTCTTCTCGGATTGATCAGGCGCTATCTAGATCTAGATCTAGATTCTAATCCAAGACCTGTTGATCTTGTTCCCAGTAGCAAGAAAAAGAATTTGACAAAGGAGTCCAGAAAAAGTGATGATGGGAATCGAACAAAAGGATCACACTCGAATTTAGCGCCAAGTAAAACAAAAAAAAAGAAAACATGAGGCTAGATGTATACGGGTTGCACTCTTAAAATAGTGCTCAGTATTGCGCGACAATGTGCGATAGTATAGAACGGAAGTACGACTTGAAATAAACAAACCTGGCGGATTTTCTAAAATTACAGAGACAGAAGCCTATCAAAGTGATCGGTGAAATAAAGAAATTTAGCTTTTTGCAGCAAAACTGTCTCAAAACTGAAAAAACAAAGGGCGTCATGATCTGGAGAATATTTTAATGAATCTTTTGGCGAAAACTGCATGTCGATCGATGCAGCCATTAAAACGCCTTCTGAATAGCAACATTCGGCCACCACAAATAGATAATAGAAAAATTACAACACACCAGATGTATTGCTTTTCGACAGTTGAATAATAGAACAGAAAATTGTCCTCATTCCAAAACTACGATAAGTTAGCAAAACTATGTCTTGTCAGGGCAAAGTCGAGAATATTTTGACAGCATGTTCAAAACATAAGAAAAATTAATTTTACGGAACACAGGCTCAAATCGTAACAACTTTGGTCTTAAATAGAAGAGTTTTTTTTTCAAAAGCCTTGACAGCTGTGATAAAAGACCCGACTCTCGGAAATTGAAGTTTTTCAATTTTAGAAAAGAGTTTTAGTTATAGATCTAGCAAAGTCGGCACAATAATCAACGTATTTCTACCCCTCCCTTTCCCCCCGCCTCCACAGGTAGAGATCAGATCTTGCAGGTTACAGCTTTTTTCGGCCCCATGGATACACTCCGGGAGACAGAAGCAGGAACTCGATAATCTTACTTCCCCACTTTTGAATAAAAATCAAACTAAGGGCTTTCACGTGAGGCTGGGAAAAGACTATCAGTCCCACCGATAAAATGTGCCCAGATGGTAGAAGCAGAAACTCGATAAATTAATGTAACTATTCTTGATTCAAACTAACGTCCTATGTAGGAAACGGCGAGAGGATTAACAAACCATTTTATCACAGACACCGGAAGGACATAACGCTATGCATTGGCAAAAAAATAAACCTTGTGAACCTGCTTAAGTACATGTATTACTATGTCAGACTAATTTCTTAGCTGGGACAAATGAAATCACCATGCTTTGAGTTACCGTCTATATCCAGTGGCAAGTAGACCTACGTAAGAAAGAGAGAGAGAGAGAGAGAATGAGAGAGAGAGAGAGAGAGAGAGAGAGAGAGAGAGAGAGAGAGAGAGAGAGAGAGAGAGAGGCATGCGAAAATGTTCACGTCTTGCTCCTTTCTTCAGGGTGCCACCATCTCTTCAATGACATTCTTAAACATGGCAGATAATAATAAATTAAATTACATATTAAAACATGTATGGTGTTGCTTCATTTGTTATATGTCAAAGTACTAATTTGCCCAGACGTTCTGCCCTCTAACACAAATAATACTACTTATAATTTTGAAGGTACAGTAGGCTCATATATTTGTGTAGGTACACGTGTGTGTATATTTGTGTGAGTGTATGTGTGTATGCGTGTGTGTGTGTGAGTGTGTGAGTGTGTGTTTGTGTGTGTGTGTGAGTGTGTGTGTGTGTGTGTGTGT